GGAAAGGACAAGATCGCTCACATCCCAGGATCAGAGCAACAGAATGTGGACATGGAAGGTCACGATGATGATGATGCTGAAGATGATTTGGAGTTTTTGCCAAGACTACAAGTTTTTGTCAGGAAAGAGGAGGAAAAGGCATCAGGCTCTCAGGAAAGAGAGGAAGAAGGTGTATGCTCTCAAGAAAGAGAGGAAACACAACCACAACAAGAAAGTGAGGTATTACCTGATGCAAATCCTCGAAGAAATATGGAAGATCGACAGGGACTGTTCTTAGTCAGGCAACTCAAACCAGAGCACAGACAGATCCTCCATGATATTACACTCCAAGGCCAAACAATCCTCACAGAAGATGATCTTGAAGGAAGTCGACCCCTTGAACGTGGTGACATAAGCTTCTTCTCATTATGGTTGATGATGTCGGCATTATCAGATGCTTCTTTTTCAACATTTATGGAGCAGTATGCACCTATGATGGGTTATGAGATCTCTTACGACAAGTACTATGAGTTCAAACTGGATATTGACAAAGTTCTCAAGGACAATGAACACCTTGGCGCAGAAAATTTCTTTGGAGCAGAGGATCCTCAGATGGTGGACGATGATCCAGACACTCCACTTCCAGATCTTCAAAGACCAGGCGCAGGTGATCCTGAGTACAAGCATACCATTGAAAGTTTGAACATTGAGGACAAACATATCATTTTGGAAACTGATGATGACAAATTGGTTGAGTGTACATTGAAATGGATCAGTATGTGCAATCAGAATGTTCAACGAAAGATCAAGGAAAGTTTTGTCAAACCAGAAGAACGACAAGAGGAAGAAGAGAAAGAAGAGGATGAAGATGAGGAGATTGCTGTCGAAGAAGAAGAAGAAGAAAAAGACACACAGGAGCCACATGTCCCAGCTGAAGGCTCTTCAGAGAAAGAGGAATCAGCTCCACCTGAACGCTCCTCAGAAAAGGAGGAATCAGGGGAGAAGAAAACAGACATTCAAGATGATGAGACAGCTCCTGAAGTGAAACCTGCAATTCGACTTTACTATGGTCAAGATATCACTGGAAACGAAGATGATTCAGTTTTTCGAAAATTGAAGGATTGTTTTTCAGATGGTTACCATGGTGAATGGGCAGGATTTTACAACAAAGGTTATCCAGCGTCTTCGAAGCATCGACATATGTTTTGGCATGTTAAGTACAGGAAGACCATGTCTCCACATCATGATTTTTGGTACCATCTTACAGATGACCAGTTGATGGTTGAGTACATTGCCAGACACAAGAATCAGGATCCACAACTAGAATTACAAGAACTTAATCAGCGCATTGAATATGGTTGTAGTGATCCAAGGATGCATCCTCTTCATCAAGACAAAGCAGAAAGATCCTCAAAAGAAGCAGAAAAGAGGATTGATGACGATTTTGGAAATCTCACAAGGGTACTCCAAGATTACGTTGAGGACCACAAGGTCTTGCCTTACTGTATGATCTTGCATAGCTTGGCTTACAGGTATTTAGGTGGAGGCCTATCAGACCCAACGTACAAGGATGCTGAATTTCCATACAGATCCTCTCCACAGATAACAGCAATGTTTTGGAATTTGGGAAACTGGTGCAGAAACAGATTTGAAAAATGCCCGGTTCCAGAAAGATTTCAACAATTCATTCCACACATTGACTACACTATCGATGAGGATCATGAAAAATTTGATGAAACCAAATCACAGTTCAACAATTACTTCATCAATGTCATCAAGAACTTTGGAGGACATCTTTTCATGAATTGCGAGGCTGGTTCGTTGTATCCTCACAGAGAAAGACTCGACGAGGTTGACTTTAAAACTTGCTTCAATGACTATCATGACTTGATGGTGGCAGCTCGCCTTGGAAAGGATGGCTATATCAAGCAAATTGCTGGATATCACACAGATGACAACGACACACGAGTTCGACAAGTCTCATGGGCAATCTTTGAAGTATCTTGGGGAAAGACAAAGGATCGAGATACAGATGAGATTGTTGACTTGACAAGAGCTAGGATGAGAATGACACGTGTGTGCGTTTATCACGTCGGACAGAAGTATGCATCAGACTCTGCTGGGATTGTTGGTGAGTGCTTAGCTGTTATGGCTTTTGAGTGTGCCAGATATCAAGTTGACTTCATCGCAGGTGATGGAAACAAGGCATGCTATTACAGCACACCAAAATCTCCAGGTGTCCCTACATATCAACACAGCCTTATCCAATTCTGGATTAACAGAATGGTAGGTGTTGCAACACAAGCCATGCGCAAGAATTTTGATCCAACTTGCCCTCCAATCAGGGTCAAGCATTTCATTTCTTGCAGTTATCGTGACTTGGATTTTCTTGCAACGCACTTGGATGGCATTACAACAGCAACATACACCGACGAGCTCATGAACAAGACAAATGGTAAAGGTGATTGTTGTATGTTAACAGGTGTTGAGTGGGGTCATTCACGTTTGATGTGTGAGGAACACCCAGAAGACTTTGAGGATGAAGATCACATGAACTATGTGGGTGAATTTTACTTCAAGGTAAATGAAACTTGCTTACATGGTGATCACAACATCTTCATGGTTGCTCCAAATGATCGCGATGCTCATAATCCAATTCTTATCCATCTTGATCCTTCTGATATGTCATGGAATGAACGACATCATTACAAACAGGCCTACAAGAAGAAGCAGTATGCTGATTCAAGAAAGGAAAGACAGAAGGAGAAAAAGAGAAAGGCATATGAAGATCAAGCATCGACGTATCAGGGCAACACAGAGTGGGGTGGATCCTCATCTTCAGCGTCCAGACCATGGAGATCAAGTGAGTGGCGATGAGTGAGTGTACACTTCTTTAATTGAAGATAACACAGCATGAGAAGCCGTGTACAGTTTTTCTGTGCGTTCAACTTATTTCACACAGATGGCATATACTCTTTTAGATAGAGATAATGCCACAAGTGTCTGAACTTCAATTTAATGTAAAATAGAGACTCTTGTAAATAGAGATACTATATACATTTATCTCCATGAATCATCCGGCGAGCAGACCACTCCGAATGGAGCGAACTTCAAAAATTTACCAACTTCGATTTCAGTCCATTGTTTGCTTGAATGAGCAACTTTGGAGATCCGCTATTTCCGTTTATTTCGTGATTTGGTCAATTGTTTTCGTATGACCTGAATTTCTGAATCTTGCGAACCCGAACTTTTCAATTCGAACTTTTCAATTCGAACTTTCACCGGTAGAGCGAGGCATTTTGCCTGTGGAGAGACCGTGCGCGAAGCACCATTGGTCGCTACTGGAAAAATTAGCGAATCCGCTGTTCTTTTTCGACATGTCCTTAGGACATTCGCTGCTTTCACGTGTTTTTCAATTCGAAGCCACTGCGTAACTCCGGTTTCTTTTGCTATTTGCCATTGTGTAGAGAAGTCAGGAAGATACTCTTAATACCAATTGGGTACGGCAAGGCGTAGTGCTCTACTCATTGCTTTTGAATTTGTGCCTGTGTTTTTGTTTCGACCTAATACCTACATAGGTACATGCATGAGTATTGAGCACATTTATATGCGCCCTTCAAGGCTCAAGAAAGAGGTATATAGAGTAACCCTGTAGACAAGCACTGACCGGCAACAGGCTGAGAGTAAAAGAGTGCTGTCATTGGGGAAGACGCCTTAGCTGATCTTGAAGTAGACGCTAGGGCCCCTCTTCAGCCCTCCCCCCCAATCCCCCCCCCTCCCGCTTTTTTTTAATTATTTAAATTCAAAACTTGCACGCTTTTCAATGCACTAGTTTCATTCGAGTATATTTATATTTATGTTTAAATTTTTATATATACATATATATACATACTTACAATACATACATATATATATATATGTATATATATATATAAGTATGTATCTATAAGTATATATAAAAATACACATGCATATTTACTTTTAGATATACTGACATATATATATATGACATATTTGTGGTTGTTTTTATACACAGCTTTGATCCCAAAATATACTATAAATAATCACCTAATTATAGCTATTTGTATGTACATGTTGTATCCCTAAATACCCCCTAACCCAACCCTAAATAGATCCTAAACAAATCCAGAAGAAACCATTAAGCCAACCCTAAATAAACCCTAAACCAAACCCTGCATATATATATATATATATCTATATCTATATATTAAATACACGTGTAAACGCACTGATCTACATATACATATAGTCATGATTAGTTATGCATATATACCTTTCTACATCTACAATTTGTAGTTTGCACATCGTGTATTTCCAAAAATAAATGAAAACTTGAATAAAAAACAATGAAAACCATGTAAAAATCAATGAACAACTCTGGAACCAGAAATGAAAACAAGTGAAAACTGAATGAACACCATGCACAAATTGAAGAAAAACATAGAAAAAATGAAGAAAACCATTGAAAAATGGAAGAACACCATGGAATATCGAAGAAACCATAGAACAATTGAAGAAAACCATAGAAAAATTGAAGAAAACCCTGGAACACTTGAAGAAAACTCGATAGAAACCATTGAAAAAAAAATTGAAACCAGTCGAAAAATTGATGAACAGTGCGAATGAGAGATTTTAGCTACAAAATGCAGCAAATGAGTGATTTTAGTTGCAAAAACCAAGGAAGGGAGCCTGGACGACCAAAAAAAAAAACAAACAAAAAAATAAAAAATCCACAAAAAAAATGCGCACCCATTAATAAGTGTCCTAACTAGCCCTTTTAGGGAAAAAAAAACCAAATTGAAACCTTGTCCCTGAGCATTTCAATCAGGTTTCGGTCAACATATGCTACAATTATTGGACCCGCAACATGTATGGGCAGCTTTGAAACACATGTACATACAATAGTATATATATAATGTATAATACAACACGTCACATCGGGTCATTGGTGCCCCAAGGGCTAGAGCCATATCCCAAGAGGTCGACCAAGAAGTTCCAAGGTCGGACGAGGCGTACTCTGGCACTGCATGGCTAGAGATCGGTGCTCCGGTGGGAAAAGCTCTGGCACAGCTGCAGGTGACCCTCTCATTGACGCCTCACTGTCGCGTGGAAACTTGGGATTTGTTTCCAAACCTTGGTGCTTAATGGTAAAGCCCAAGTGGGATTCAGCTGGCATTGTGGGTTTGGCAGTTTGGCACTGAATGTTGGGAAAACCTCAACTACTTGTTGCTTGAGGGTTGATCAAACTTCTCTAGAGGGTATTCCCCATTATTCGCAAACGTGTTTATCGTAATTTCCATCACTATACATCTCACCAAGGGTTTCAACCCAGCTTTTGACTGGTTAGTGCGTTTGAATCTATTTGCTGTTGTCCATTTGGCCAAGGGGATGGTGCTTTGCAATTGGCTTTCTTGTGCATTCTTTTTCTTTTAGGTGAGGGTCGATTCTAATCAGACATGGCACTCCCATGCTGCAACTCCTGCACCTTCCCAGACAGAATGCCAGATGAAATGTCACAGTAGGTGGCAGATAAAGTGTCAGGATATATTCATGCCAGATAGAATGGCAGATAACAGTGTCAGAATATTTGCCAATAATGTCACAAGATCTGTCAGATAACATGCCAGACAGTACGTCAGAATGTATGTCAGATAGAATGTCAGATGAATTGTTGGAATCTATGCATATATGCATATAATTATATACTGTATATATATATGTGCCAGATAGAATGTCACAATATATATGCCATATTTTTTGTCAGATATCAGAATATGTGTCACATGAATTGCCTGAGGCCCCTTTCGGCTGAAAAAGAAACGCTGCCCGCTTCGCAGAGCCGGACGAGAGGCCTCAACTGAACGGCGGCGATGGCTCGACATCATCTGAGGAGAACGAGGCTGACCTAGCTGCGAACATCGTAGGCCATGACCTTGCGCTGGACTTAGCCCCTCAGATCCAAGATGTTGTTTTCAGACATGTCAGGAGTGGATGTTGCCATGTAGCCAAAGACCGAAACTTCGATCCTAGCGACGGTGAAGCTGTAGTTTTGAGATGTGGAAAGGTCGCATCAAGAAACATCGAACAGGTGTCACTGGCAGGAAGTTTTCTTCCGTACAAGTGCTCACGGTGTTTCACAGGTGACTAGGTCAATTCGTGTTGTGATGTTGTTTTTGAACATGCCAACATGTAGTTTTCAACTTGTCTTGAGCTGTTCGATGATGAGTCCGGACCTCAATGTGAAAGCACTTCATTCTTTCAGATTGCGTGTCGGCATGTCAAACCAAACTCAAACGGGCACAAGTAAACGTCAGCACAGAGACTTGTCACCTGAACTTCAGAGTTTCTCCAACAGTCAGACGTGACTTGGTCGTGGTGGTATCAGTTGAAATTGTTTGTCAGTTAACACTTTGTGTAAAATCAATTTCTGATGCAGTGTGCAGTCATGTCTGTGGAGTAGTTGTGACTCCCTCCAGCGTCAATGCGTGGAGCCAAGAGTGCTGATTTTTTTTGTGTCTTGCAGTATCCTTGAGAGTTCACTGCTGAATGCAGACGTGTGCATGAGAATTTTGAGACTGGCGTTGAGAGATAGGAGTGACAATCTCACATTCACTGCATGTGCTGCCATTTCAACTTGTGTTGTGGAATGCGGCTGAATTGCAACGCCAGGGCATCCAACAGAGATTGCCGACCGCGGCAGTATGCCTCAAAGTTTGGAGCTTGCCAAGCGCCGGTTCCTCTGAGCGCCGGAGTTGCGCGTTCACACCATGACAGTTGTGATAGTGTTTCGTGTGTTGCATTTTTTTGAGTGAACGCAAGACAAACTGCAACAGTGCAGAGTACGATCTGAGCGATCCACCCGTGAGAAAACTGAAGAGGCGCAGCATCGGTGAGAGCGATTTTGTTTTGAATGCAAAATAAATTCCACAGAGCCTTATAGCGGTACCATTTTGGGGAAGCAGTTTTCTCGTGAATGCAGCAAAAATTCTCACAGTGAGCATTGCCAAAGGGCCGATAGCACATCAGTGTGTTGAGATGTGCGGCTCCAGCGATGACGGAAAACTGTCAAGGAAGGGTTGGGTCCATATACATTGATTTTTTTCAGCCAAAGTCATGAGAAGCCAAGAACATATTTTTACAACAACTTGAAGTGGCAGGGAAACAGAAGCCTTTCTTTTTTTTTGCATCCTCGCCGGTCATGTCACTGGTGGACTCTGTAGTGGTGTTTTCTCATTTATGGTGTTTGCAAATGGTGTTTCCACTTTGCATTTATGGTGTCACTTTATTTATGGTGATTTTGGAGATCCACTTGCTTGGATAACCTTTCGTTCGCGGCTATGGATCGATTGTTATGGCCATATGCCGCTGCCGACAGACAAAGTGTTCGTCAGTTTTGTCAGATGATTGTTGGAGTTTCGAACACCAATGCCAGAATCGAAGATTGAAGCGACTGGCTGATCCAACAATGCCAGCCCGAGCCACTGCATCCCTGGCAGAAAACTGAACCTACATCATTTTTGTTTCAGATGAACTTGCGGTATTTGTAGTACTTTGTAGTACTTGTAGTGAGTGGGGAGTTCAGCATGTTGATTGCATTACTTTTTCCACCTTAAAACTTAAGTGTTTCTCTTAATGAAACATGTAATAAGAGAAAGAAAAGAGAAAGGGAACGCGAAAAAGAGAAAGAGAGAGAGGAAGAGGAAGAGAAAAAGAAAGAGAAAGAGACAGGAAAAGAGACAGAAAAAGAGAACGCTTTGGAAAAAATGCTGCAATTTTGAACCCTGAGAACAAACCGACTAAAAGTGAACTGGACCCTCTCATGGCCCAGTGCCTTGGAAATTTGTGGAAAAACTGTTCTTTAATAAGGGTTTAATAAGCGATCTGATTCTTTTGGGAAAGGTTTGGACTTTGAACTTAGCAATTGCTTTTGGAAAAGGCGACTTTTCTTGTCTTGGCTCCAGGATCAGCTCTGGACAAAATTGCTGCAATTGTGAACCCTGAGAACAAACTGACTAAGTGAACTGGACCCTCTCATGGCCCAGTGCCTTGGAAATTTGTGGAAAAACTGTTCTTTAATAAGGGTTTAATAAGCGATCTGATTCTTTTCAGAAAGGTTTGGACTTTGAACTTGGCAATTGCTTTTGGAAAAGACCTACCTTTCTTCTCTTGGCTCCAGGATCAGCTCTGGACAAAATTGCTGCAATTGTGAACCCTGAGAACAAACCGACTAAAGTGAACTGGACCCTCTCATGGCCCAGTGCCTTGGAAATTTGTGGAAAAACTGTTCTTTAATAAGGGTTTAATAAGCGATCTGATTCTTTTCAGAAAGGTTTGGACTTTGAACTTAGCAATTGCTTTTGGAAAAGACCTACCTTTCTTCTCTTGGCTCCAGGATCAGCTCTGGACAAAATTGCTGCAATTGTGAACCCTGAGAACAAACCGACTAAAGTGAACTGGACCCTCTCATTTCCCAGTGCCTTTGGAATTTTGTGGAAGAGCTGTTATTTAAAAAGGGCTTAACAAGCGATCTGATTCTTTTGGGAACATCAGGCGGACACGATTTTTCCGGAACAAATGTCATTTTTTTTATATCACACTCAAACATTTTTTTTCAAAAAAAATGGTCTCTCAATGCCACAATAGCGAACCTACCAAACAATGCATGGGTTCAGAATAATTTGGATTTTTTGGCACAATAGCGAACCTAGCTGGACCTAGCTACTATATATCAAATTCACACCATCTGTATCCAGCCCCGCTGAAGATCATCGCTGCGAGGATAGTTTCACCCCCGAGCACGTGCAGCTCTTCATCGCAGAGGAAGGGGAAGCCTTTGGCGAGATCCCAATCTTCGAGTCCGTACAGCTCCGCGGATCTGATGGAGTTGTGACCTGAGTTTTTTGGAGCCCATTTGAGGTAGCGATTTATTGGAGGTAGCTATCATATATAAGGCATATGGAAGGGCTATGTAAGGGCTATGCTTTACATGGTGCAGTACCTCCATTTTAGGTAGGTGGTAGTTGAGATTAGGGGGGTGGGCGGATGGGCTAGATGTGGCAAACCAATGCCAAAGGTAATGTGCTTGGTGGTTCAACCCACTTAGTAAGTGGTTTAGTTCTCGAGTTGCAACTGGACATTCCCCCTAATGTCCCTACTCAGCATACAACCTACTTGCTAACTTTCAGTGTGTTTGTTGTTATGTTGTGGTCAATATGTGATTGCAGGAGCCACCGAAACATAGCCTTGTTTCTGCCAACGCTTTTGGGAAACGTGGCACTTTTTCAAAACGTGATTTCCCGCAGAGTTTCCCGTCCATCATAGCTGCTTCGGTTTTTTTTTTTCTGAAACTGGGGCGCCCCAAGAATCATCCAAAATCTTATGGTTCATCATTGTGTTCCTGTCAAGAACCAATTTGTTCAGGTACCCTCCATGTTTGGGCAAACCAATGCTTCACTTGCGCCCATTCTGAGGTTTTGGTCCTTGACCTTCCCTGGCGAACCCATCATTTTGCCCGCTAGGGAGTTTCTTACAGCGGCCGATGGTGGTTGGCAAATGGAGGTATTACATCTTAATTTTGAGGCCAGATGGAAATATGAAACCCATTGAAACCCCGCATGGGACCAATCAAGGTTTGAGTCAAAACAGAAAGACAGCCATAAGGACCAGTCTCATATAATCAATGCATGGATCTGAAGTCGGGAGTTGGTTTGCTGGAGGAAAGATGGGTCCTGAATTGGGAAGTTGTGCTTTGTTTGAACACTTGCATTTTTCGATTTACATTTGCACATAGAAATTTACCCGGATTAATATGTCATGTGTTGTTTTTTGTTATTTCTTGGACTTAGTGTGCACCTAGTTGGTCATATTTGGGTGGCTAGCCGAAAAGCCACAGGATGAATATGTTATTTTTGTGGTTCGCCATGGAAAATTGAGAGCAGTTTTGAGATCAACATGTCTGGGTAGGGCATGTTGTTTTCTTCCGCCTCACGATTCTTCAGTTGTTTTCAGATACCCTCTGGCAAACTAACAGAACTAGAGAAAATCACCATTTTTAATGGGTAAATCCTCTATTTCTATGGCCATGTTCAACAGCCATGTTAGTTTACTGGTTTTCGGACGGGGTCGCAAGTCGGAGCCTGAAGTCACTGGAGTTCCACCGTCAACCCTGGAAGAGGTGGACTAGCGTCCATGGAAGCTATAACTGTAACCTATATATATATATTAGTACCTAGTATAGGTTACAGTACCTATACATATAGGTATAATTTATATATTAGTATATATATATATATAGACATACATATTATGTATATCATATGTATATATGTATGTATTTTTTGACACCCTGCGCGTTCAGAGGCGATCCCGCCGCGGCAGCTGTCTCTAAATTTTCAGTATCAAAGGGGTGCCGGTTCACCTCACCCCTTTGCATAGTCGGGGCCGGTGGTTACATATATACATATATATATTATGTATATTTTATATCGGTGGAAATTTGGTCATCAATGGTGTTGCTCATTCTAGCAATGAATGGATGATTTTTTTGGAAAAAATAGGACCACAACAAAAATCATTTCGCTAGGGTGTCTAAGGTGAACTATATTTATTGCGAGAAAATGGAGCGCACCTGGTTAGATGCGGGTATGCCAAGCTTTTATTGCGTTTACTTACAAATTTTGGTTGCTAAATATGTCAATATGTGGTCCCAAATCGTTTGGTTTGTTAAACCCGATGTTTGGACGTTGACCCCTGCTTTCGTGGGCTAAGCAAGTTTTGTCATTTAAACTCCAACCTTTTCTAAACCCGGCGTTTGCTTGACTAGGCAAATCAGACTTTTGGCTGGCTACTTATGTTGGATTTATATGGATTTATAATATCCATACTTAGATTGTAAGCCAACATCACTGTGGGAGGATCATCCTGTACTTGAAAAATGGTCAGATTTGTACAAGCAGCAAATGTGGAAACACACGCAGCATTCGGAATTACTGCATCCAATGATTAAGATTACACATGTACTTTTTCAGTGGGGGACCCAGTTTTATATAGGATAACCCGAAACATGAGGCAATTATGAACGAGGCTTGCTGACCAAGTAGGACCAAGTACTAAGTAGGATGATCCTCCAAATGGGCTGATGAAGGGCTCAACCAAAGAAACAGGGCTGTTGACGGCGTTGACTGAGAAAACTCTTAGGTTAAAGCAACAATAATAGAGCCAAGGCCACTGTTCAATTGGCCCCTTGTTGAAGTGTCTAAAGCAACCATCAATATCTAAATCCGTCAATTCAGCATACTGTCCCCATAAATCCATATAGATCAACTAGAAACCTGTAAATTCAACCGTATTTGCACCATAAATCCACTATGGATTAATAATGATCTCCTGAAATGAACATTTCTAATGAAACATGTGGTACAATCCATAAATCATAAATCCATCATTTCTTCACCACAAAAAAACACAACGTGATCGGCGGCTCCCAGGCTTCTTCCACCGCGCACCAGTCGCGCCAAGCTCTGTGTGAAGCGGGCGGCCTGCGGTGGCCGGAACGTGCGGCTGCAGTGCATCAAGGCGATGGTGATGCGGTGGGTGGTTATATAGTTAATGAGACCATGGATTGACTGATTCACTGGGAGTATTAATGGAACACACCAAGACTATGGATTTTGGGAGTGTTTTTTTCAGATGTTCATTGTGTTTGAATGTCAAAAGGTTTGTTCCTGCAGGGGATAAAATAGTGTTGATTTATGTCTAATCTTATCATCAGTTATAACATGTTATAATGTTTCTTGATCATTAGCTAATTATGAACAAATGGATCATAAGAAGGGAAAAAAAATGGGATTCACTGGGATTAACTAGGATGATGATTATGGATTAGGGATTATATAAACATTAATTAGTTGACGGATGTGTATTTGATGGGAAAATCATGGAAGACTAGAGGACAATCCACAATAAATGGAGATTTTAATAGGAAAATCAACCTGATATCCTGGATCTGCAGTTTGTCGATGATTTTTCAATGGGAAAGCCGTTATTTTTGGAATTCAAAGAGTCTAAGAGGGTATCCAAAATATGTTGGATTGATTGTTAGACTATTTGGTTGTCGGTTACAAGATCTTGTGCATTGTTTTCAACCATACTTGGGATGATTGGTTGAATTGATCAACTATTTTGATGGGTTAGAACCAACAACCAGCCATTCTGGGATTAAGGTTGCATGTCTTTTTGGTGTATTATCCTAATATTACAGTAAAATGTTTGGTTTATTATTACATAGTTATTACTGGTGAACCCAAGAATAAGCCATCCACGAGTAGGGTTTACTCTTGGGTATATCCCTATTTGGGATGATGTAAAATGACACCCTTTTGTCGTCAGTGGTTGGTTACAGGGGTGGTTTGTCATTGGCTTTACCAAATGAGTGAGAGAGAGAGAGAGAGAAATGCTGATGTCATCGGACTACTATGGGACCATAATGGGAATATTGGACAATAGGTTGTTCGTTTTGATACTAACATTACTATGATTATTGGCGATTGGATTATAGTGATTAGAGACTAGATTAGGTCGGATTATAGTCTGTAGTGATTTGACAACATAGCTTGTTGGGGCACCCAGATAAACAAGTAGAACAGCTTTTCCAGCATCATGATCACATTAAATTAAAGTTAGATAGACAGGGATTTTCTCTGTTTTCAGGCTTTGCGAACATGTGGCTTGCTTTTAGGATCTCTTGAGACACTGAGGTGTCCCAAAAAGATACAACAAATTTTCCAGGATGTCATGGATGATTCTTGGAGGATAGTTATTTGATACTGCCAGGCTTTCTACTTTTCTATCACTAGTGTGCTGTTATAATTGCTGTATCCCCCAAGAAGATGCAGGGAAGTTACTTAGAGTATTGTAGTAATTACTGTAGGTTCTATTTTTCTTGATATCATTAGGGGTTGCTATATCAGACAGCTTTCCCCAGATGCTTGGATTCGGATGATTGAGGCGCCTGTGGGTTACCCTCCGGCAATTAACATAGCTGTGGAAAGCCACCCATTTTTTAGTGGGTAAATTAAGCAAATCAGAGAGAGACCTATTGCCAGATGGGATTCGCTGGGGCAGCGACCAGCTTTTCAAAACGCCAGGTTCTGACCAAACGTTTGAAGCGACGACGGGAAGATGAAGGCACGTTTGCATACGTTTGCTTGTTTTTTCTTTGATTGGCTAATTTTGGAAAGTTGTTGAATATTGGGCAATTATTGGACATATGAGTTTAAATCTTTTTTTTTTGAGATCGTTTGAGATTCGGCTAGCAAGTGACTAGATACAGTAGATGTGTCTTATATAATCCCATTGCCTTGTTAAATAGCCTCCATAAGAGCCACCAAAATGAAGAGATCCAATACTAAAGCGGGGTACCTCGGGCGGATTTAAGACGGAAATCCGCAGTGCAAACTCTCTAGTTTGGATGCCGGCCAAAGAAGCGCTAAAGTCGTTGTAATGTCAACCGCCTTTAAGAAACCTGGCTGTCAAGAAGGGCTGCCTATTTCTTGGTGAAGGTTTTCACTCCCTATATGGATCGAAATGGATCCAAATGTTTCCTCGCCCAATCATACCTAAACACATCCTCAGACATTGTTCGTGTTTTTGTTGGGGACCGGCAATGATGGGACCCCCACTATCATACTATGGAAAGATTATGGGTGCGACCCAGTCAGCCAGTAGATCCTGTGACCTTGAGGAGACTTTAATGGGAGCGGCTTTGTGTCTAGGTAAAGTACGGCGACCTTACAGCGACCTCACCAGAAATGAATAGTTAAGGGGGGAAAACAATGCAAGAATTAACCACTTCCGAAGCAAACTCTGAGTTCTGAACGTCTAGTGAACCTCAAAAAGATGCCCAAAGTATTTTGACGTATTTTGATGATATTTACGGCATACTTCCAGGTTTCCAACACTTTTTCTATATGTTTGGGGCTTGCTGCACCCCAATTTGCCTTCGTAAAAATATTTCTTTCCACGGCGCCAGGAAGGCTGGCGGATCGACTCTGGTCAAACAAGGCGATGGCGATCCTAGTGACATACATACATTATATTACATTACATTACATTACATTACATTACCTACCTACCTATGTACGTACGTACGTACGTACATACGTAATATATATATATATATATTTGTATATGTATAAACATGTGTATTTATGCATGTGCATAAGTGTATACATGCATAATCATATTTGCTTATGTATATATATATATATACATTTGCCCTTAGCTGAACTCTTCGAGAAGGGGATGTAGAAGACGAGCATATACATATTGGGTATGTTTTGATAATGTGTACACACACGTATGTATGTTTTGTTTTGTGGATATACTTTGGATATACATTTGGTTAAGATGATAGATCATGATGATATACATTGATATATCGTCTTAACGTAATGATATCATTTTTCATTCGTCGTTTGTTTAACCATATGTTTCAATGACCCCATGGCTCCATTATGCTCTCCGGGATGATCCTATGGCCCAGTTTACATCCACTTAGTGTATCTTGGTACAACTTACAAGGCGTGTGTTTCTCTTCTTACTGTTTCTCTAAATATGCTGGTATAATCCATTTTTGGCTGTGCATGCGTTTTTTTGAATGTGGAATACATTTAATTCGTCTAACAACTGGCATGTACATCCAAAGTATCCTGTAGTAACCTAATATGGAAATGCAATTAACAACAATATGATCTTCCTATCAGAAGTCAGGAGCCCCTACAATCATCCACCACCTATAATATAATTTATCAATTATATTCCCATATTTTTGGCCGATTTACTCCTACAAATGATGGACTGATATCATCAGCCAAAATTAATGGAGTCTAGAGTCTGGAGGGGGGGTAAGGGGAGGGGTAGGTAGCTTATCATGTAAGAGCCCAATAAGGGCTTATTGGATATCCCCAACGCCAAGGAAAAACTTGTCTTTACTCCCTGGTCCCACCTTGAATGAGACAAGAGATCCTTCTTCAAGGTTTGCTCAAGGTTGGTTGAAGACTGATAAGGGCTTAGCGGCTTATCAAGAGCTTATCCAGGGCTTAAAGGATAAGCCTTGAATGGCTGTCTCCTAACCTAATTTGCCTACCCGCCTCCCCCAAATCCCCCAAAATCCCAACCCCCAACATCCCCAGGCCCTCCCCAGGCCCTCCCCAGGCCCTTCCCCTCCGCAGACTCTCCCATACCTTCGTCCTGGGCTCCTTGGCTGAAGACTTTACCAGGCCTTATTCAGAGCTTAACTGATAAGCATCTATCAAGCTTCTAATAAGAGCTCATGAAGCTTCTAATAAGAGCCTTACACAGGAAGCCCCCAATAAACCTTCATATATGATGAGCTACTTGCCCCGCCTACCCCTCCCAGACTCCATGAAAAATGTTTGATGTTTTATTCATTTTAGATCTTGAATTTTGATTGTTAAACCATGTCTTATCCCAACTGTTGATAGTTAAACTATATTAAACTATGTCAACTCGATTTTTAATGATTGACTAAAGTAAAATCCCTATTATCACTGTTATTGTTACTATTATTGATACCAGTAGTAACGCACAAGGCGGTGGCGGAAGTTTCAAAAATAGGACAACTATAGGAGAGGTTGGTTGTTGTGAATCACGGATGGCAGAGCGAATCCACGGATGGACCGAAAGCTGGTTGGAGTTGTGTTTTTTGGAGTGGTTGCAATGGTTGCAGTGGTCACCCCACCACAACAGCTGGATGTAGTGTGGTGTAGCGCAGTTGTAGCTGTAGTGTAGTGTAGTGGAGTTGTAGTTGTAACGTACTTTAATTAGTGTAAAGTAGTTGCTGTTGTACTTGTGGTGTGGTGTCATTTGTGTAGTGTAGTGTACTGTAGTGTCGTCTACTGTAGTGTGGTATAGTGTAGTCTAGTCTAGTGTAAAGTAGTGTAATGTAGTTGTAGTTGTAGCGTAGTGTAGTGTAATTAGTGTAGTTTAGTGTAGTGCACTGTAGTCGCAGTTGTAGTTGCAGTTGTAGCTGTTGTGTAATGTACTGTACTGTATTGTAATGCAAAGCAATGTAACGTAATGTAATGTAATGTAATGTAATTAGTGTAGCAAAGTGTTGTGTAATGCAGAGTAGTTGTAGTTGCATTTGTATTTGCAGTTGCGCTTGTAGCGTGCTGCAGTGTAATTGCTGTAGCGTAGTCTTGTGTAACGCAGTGTAGTTGTAATTGTAGTAGTAGGAGTAGGAGTAGGAGGAGTAGTAGTAGTTGTTGTTGTTGCTGTTGTTGTTGCTGTAGTAGTAGTAGTAGTAACAGTAGTAGTAGTATTAGTTGTTGTTGTTGTTGTTGTTGTTGTTGTTGCTGGTGTTGTTGTTGTTGCTGTTGTTGTTGTGGTGTAATTAGTGTAGTGTAGTGTAGCGTAGTGTAGTGTATTGGTGTAGTGTAGTGCAATGTAGCGTAGCGTAATGTAGCGTTGTATATTTACATTTGTAGTTGTAGTGTAATGTGTAGTGGCAGCTGTTGTAGTTGTCCATCTATCTATCTGTCTACCTGCAGGCACGAAAGCGAAACAAGTCTGCGAGACTTCCTCATTTTTCGAAGTTGACAACATCAAAAACGAAGCAATTCTGCAAGACTTCCTCAATTTTCGAAGTTGACAACGTCAAAAAAACGAAGCAATTCTGCGAGACGTTCTTCAAAAATGGAAAGTTCAGTGCAGAGCTGGCGGCCTTGTAACAATATCCAATGCGTTTTGCGATTTATCCACTCCATCTGTCTGAGGTATTGCGCCTGCCACGCAAAAGTGATGCCAGGTCATACGAAGTGCTGCACCTGTCACGCAAAACCGTATCTGAACCTTCAAAAGTGATCCGGGCATGTGATGCTTTTAACATTTTGACTTGGAAATGTGCTTCGCGCCACAACGGCGTGCACTTTTCGACATCTCAACTTCCAAAAGTGCTCTGTTTTGCACATTTTGACTTTCAAATAAATGTGCTTCGCGCCACAACGCCGTTCACTTTTTCATCTCTCATCTCCCCAGGTGGCTCCGCACCCGCTGCTTTGGCGAGCCTACTTTTCGACTCTCCGGAGCCACAAATCATTGGAAAAACGCCGTGTTTCGCGACTTTGCTAGCTTTGCGCGCACCTGCATCTTCTGTCTTCTGACTTGACTCTTTCTCTTCTCTGATCTTCTTTCCTCTCTTCTCTTCTCTGACTCTTCCCACCTCCGCCTTTTCATCTGTCCATATTGTCGGAAGTTTGACTTCTAAACTTCCTTCCAGCATTAGCATTATATTTTGCTTTTTTTTTTATCATTCATGATCAGCCTATGATTGATGGCTATAACTGCTGTCCCCGCAGGAGTTTGCAGACATCGTGGTTCGCTGCAATGACGGTGGCGAGCTCAAGGCGCACCGCGCCGTCCTGGGCATCGCGTCGCCGGTGTTCCGCTGCATGCTGAACTCGCCCATGAAGGAAGGCGCCGGGAGCGGTTGCGCCAACTTGGCCAGATCTTTGATGTTTGTTGGTTGTTCAATGAAAACTGACATGGAAAATCATGGCCCATGTAGTTCGCTGATTTAGCTATAAAACAGGGTGTTTTCCTTTAGTTTTGTTAAGTTACCAGAGGGTAGTTCACAACCTATAGATCCCTGAGAGGCTCAAGATATATCTAGCATGGAGCCCTAGCTGACATACAGAAATAAACTAACTTAGCTAGGCCAGGCGGGCCTTCCTGGAGGATTGATTCATATTGATCTCTCATTCTCTAGACTCTAGAGATTTAAAATGAGGATGACAAAATGGATGGAATTATTGGCAAAATTTGGGAACATTGTTTGTGGAATCATAATAATGAACCATTCAAATTGGAGGGTTTTTTGCCTTTGGTCATACCGCAGGGACACCTATCAATGGGATGATGTAAAAGGTTTCCCCTAAACTTCCATGAAGAAATCATTCAAAGTTGAGATTTGCCATTGAGTTTATGGCAAGTTAGTGGGCTAGGAGTCCATTTTAAACCTACCAGTAGTACTACACAAGGCGGTGGCGGAAGTTTGGGAAGTATGAAACGATCCTGGGAGGCGCTTGTAGTTGATCCTTAAATGTGCGATGATTGATTGCTGCTATCCAACATGGTTTGCTCACCACAAATCGTTTGTAAACAAAACGGGGTCCAAATCACGGAGGATAAACATGATAGTTTTTCCCAGAAGTCGGAAGACAGCAAAACACAAAGTGGTGTTTCGAAGCGGGAACCGCCTCCACTTACACAAAGTTCCATTGTTTTGATGATGATCATGATGATGATTCTGATGATCGTGATGGTGATTTTGTTGATGTTGGCGACGGCGACGGCGACGGCGATGATGATGATGATGCTGGTGGTGATGGTGATGGTGATGATGATGATGATGGTGATGGTGATGATGATGACGACGACCATAACGATGGTCATGATCATGATGATGACGATAATTAACGATGGTCATGATCGTGATGATGGTGATGACGACGATGATGATGACGACGATAACAATGGTCATGATGCTGATTCTGATTCTGATGCTGGTCCTGATGCAGATCTGTGGTATGGTAGGTACCGTGGTGAACGAACTCAGGTTTCTTTTGTCCTGTTGCCGTTGCCTTTTGAATCGGACAGTCGCTGTTCACAACCCAAAATTACTTTTGAACAGCTTCGAGACTTGAACACAAGAACTTGCCGGATTCTCTACAGCATCCAAGCTCCCAGTCCACATCGTCAACCAGATTCCTTATTGGGTTTGTGCGCACCTCACACAACTAGTTCGTGGTTTCATTTTTGCTTGGGGTATTTATATACATATGTAGCCATGGGTTTTAGAGGAAATCTCTAACCTCGGGGATGGTTCAACCCAACGATGGGGCCATCATGGCAGCATCACGTGGCACCGTGGCCCTGTGGCACAGGTGCCTTTGGTGAGATTACACTGCCATGTAGCGAGAACGTGGTGCGCTCGTTGCTGAAGCACTGCTACGGCCTGCCTTACGATGCCAATCTGAGCTTGGAAGACGAGCTGGAACCTTGGCACAGCACACAGGTTTTTGATGCGTCCTACCTTAGGAAATTATTTTGAGGTGGGGGTTGGTTCCAAAATATTTTTTTTAAATTATTTTCATTTTTAACATAAATTTTATGTTAAAATCACCCGACAAGAGCCATAGCAAAATAATTTTTGCACCCGTACCTTGATGATGGTGCAAAATAATTTTCCACCTACAGAGGTTGAAGCACCTTGAAATAATTTTAAACAAACAACTTAAGGCACCTCAAAATAATTTCTCAGTTGAACTGGGGAAATTATTTCATATAGTTCCAACTGTATAAAATAATTACCAGACACCCATGATGAAAATTATTTCATGGGGTGGGGGTACTTGCAAACCACCTGCAAAATAATTTCAGCATATTACATCAAATTTCAACTACATATTTCAACATGTTCAGTCAGGATCTTCTTTGAATCAATCTGCAGCCATTTCCAACTTCATTCAAGCCACATCCCGTCAATCCCAACACATCCCAGGGAAGTTGAGTTTTGCAAGGTTAGGTTTTTTTGGATTTCTGGGGTGGTCTAGTAGTTAACCACCCCCAAAATAATTTCTGGGGAGAGAGGAATCGATTCAGGTTTCTTTGCCCAAAAGCCGATGCTAAGTCGATGTTCTAAAAAATAGTTAGTTCAGCAAGTAATTCATGGTAAATCTCAGGCTTTGTCTGTTCGAGGCAATTTGGATTTTGAACTACTCAATGGGAAGTTAATTTTGCCAGTTTAGGCTATTATTATTTCTGTGGTGGTTTAGTAGTTAACCACCCCCAAAATAATTTATGGGGTAGGAAGGGGTCGATTCAGATTTCTTTGTCCAAAAATCGATGGTCTAAATCATAGGTGGTTTAGTAGTTAACCACCCCCAAAATAATTAGGTTCTCATGGTTTGATTCTTTCAGACAGTTTGGGTCAATTTGGATCAGGTTTGGCATTTTTGACCTATTCCAGGGAAGTTGAGTTTTGCAAGGTTAGGTTATTTTGGATTTCTGGGGTGGTCTAGTAGTTAACCACCCCCAAAATAATTTCTGGGGAGAGAGGAATCGATTCAGGTTTCTTTGCCCAAAAGCCGATGCTAAGTCGATGTTCTAAAAAATAATTAGTTCAGCAAGTAATTCATGGTAAATCTCAGGGTTTGTCTGTTCGAGGCAATTTGGATTTTGAACTACTCAATGGGAAGTTAATTTTTCCAGTTTAGGCTATTATTATTTCTGGGGTGGTTTAGTAGTTAACCACCCCCAAAATAATTTATGGGGTAGGAAGGGGTCGATTCAGATTTCTTTGTCCAAAAATCGATGGTCTAAATCATGAAATTCCGACAATGCTTGTCGGGTGCATTCGGGAGGATAGGTAGGGTGACCCCCCAAAATAATTTTGTGGGGATTTTTGCTATTTATTTTGAGGTGGTTCTACTTGTTTTTTCAATCATCCAAAACCATCTTAAACCACCTTGAAATAATTTCCAAAATTATTTTGAACTAAGGGAAGTGTTTTTGAGTAATAGTAGAACCCTACAAAATAATTTAAGGGCTCCCGCCCCTGCCGCCGACCCCGGAAAAAAAACACCAGGATGAGGCTGAGCAGCGAGATGCAGCGAGGGCCTACGCGCAGAAGGAAAGCCCCAGAAAACCGGACAAGCCCCCGACAGATGGCCAAAGTCGTCCAGAAAGCTGCCAAGACGGCCGGCAAGGGCGCTGCGGAGCGTTTGAAGGTAGGCTACTGCCTAACGTCGCTTTCTGAAGCCACCAGAAAAATACTGGACAAGTTTCTGACAGATGGCCAAAGTCGTCCGGAAAGCTGCCAAAAGCGCCGGCAAGGGCGCTGCGGAGGGTTTCAAGGCAGGCTACTGCCGAACGTCGCTTTCTGAAGCCACTAGAAAACTAGTGGACAAGCCCCCAAAGGCGCTGCGGAGGGTTTGAAGCCAGGCTATACTGCCTAACGTCGCTTTCTGAAGCCACTAGAAAACTAGTGGACAAGCCCTCAAAGGCGCTGCGGAGGGTTTGAAGCCAGGCTACTGCCTAACGTCGCTTTCTGAAGCCACTAGAAAACTAGTGGACAAGCCCCCAAAGGCGCTGCGGAGGGTTTGAAGCCAGGCTACTGCCTAACGTCGCTTTCTGAAGCCACTAGAAAAGTATTGGACAAGCCCCCGACAGATGGCCACAGACGTCCGGAAAGTTGCCAAAAGCGCCGGCAAGGGCGCTGCGGAGGGTTTGAAGCCAGGCTACTGCCTAACGTAGCTTTCTGAAGCCACTAGAAAACTAGTGGACAAGCCCCCAAAGGCGCTGCCGAGGGTTTGAAGCCAGGCCACCCCAAAGGCGCTGCGGAGGGTTTGAAGCCAGGCTACTGCCTAACATCGCTTTCTGAAGCCACTATAGAAAACTAGTGGCCAAGCCCCCAAAGGCGCTGCGGAGGGTTTGAAGCCAGGCTACTGCTTAACGTCGCTTTCTGAAGCCACTAGAAAACTACAGGACAAGCCTCCGACAGATCGCCATTCTGAAGCCACTAGAAAACATTTGGACAAGCCCCCAAAGGCGCTGCGGAGGGTTTGAAGCCAGGCTACTGCCTAACGTCGCTTTCTGAAGCCACTAGAAAACTAGTGGACAAGCCCCCAAAGGCGCTGCAGAGGGTTTGAAGCCAGGCTACTGCCTAACGTCGCTTTCTGAAGCCACTAGAAAACTACTGGACAAGCCCCCGACAGATGGCCACAGACGTCCGGAAAGTTGCCAAAAGCGCCGGCAAGGGCGCTGCGGAGCGTTTGAAGGCAGGCTACTGCCTAACGTCGCTTTCTGAAGCCACTAGAAAACATTTGGACCAGCCCCCAAAGGCGCTGCGGAGGGTTTGAAGCCAGGCTACTGCCTAACGTCGCTTTCTGAAGCCACTAAAAAACTACTGGACAAGCCCCCGACAGATGGCCACAGACGTCCGGAAAGTTGCCAAAAGCGCCGGCAAGGGCGCTGCGGAGCGTTTGAAGGCAGGCTACTGCCTAACGTCGCTTTCTGAAGCCACTAGAAAACTAGTGGACAAAGCCCCAAAGGCGCTGCGGAGGGTTTGAAGGCAGGCTACTGCCTAACGTCGCTTTCTGAAGCCACTATAGAAAACTAGTGGACAAGCCCCCAAAGGCGCTGCGGAGGGTTTGAAGCCAGGCTACTGCTTAACGTCGCTTTCTGAAGCCACTAGAAAACTACAGGACAAGCCTCCGACAGATGGCCACAGACGTCCGGAAAGTTGCCAAAAGCGCCGGCAAGGGCGGTGCGGAGCGTTTGAAGGCAGGCTACTGCCTAACGTCGCTTTCTGAAGCCATTAGAAAACTACTGGACAAGCCCCCGACAGATGGCCAAAGTCGTGCGGAAAGCTGCCAAAAGCGCTGCGGAGGGTTTGAAGCCAGGCTACTGCCTAACGTCGCTTTCTGAAGCCACCAGAACACTACTGGACAAGCCCCCGACAGATGGCCAAAGTCGTCCAGAAAGCTGCCAAAATTTGAAGGCAGGCTACTGCCTAACGTCGCTTTCTGAAGCCACTAGAAAACTAGTGGACAAGCCCCCAAAGGCGCTGCGGAGGGTTTGAAGCCAGGCTACTGCCTAACGTCGCTTTCTGAAGCCACTAGAAAACTACTGGACAAGCCCCCGACAGATGGCCAAAGTCGTCCGGAAAGCTGCCAAAAGCGCCGGCAAGGGCGCTGCGGAGCGTTTGAAGGCAGGCTACTGCCTAACGTCGCTTTCTGAAGCCACTAGAAAAGTTCTGGGCCAGTGTCAAGCCAAGCGGCTGCCTAACGTTGCTTCGTGCTTAACGCCACTTTTCCTCGGGCGCGCTCCCCCTGCAGATGGCTGGGGTCGGCGGATTTATTTGCAAATTTTCAGAAATTATTTTGAGGAGGTGGGTAGTGATAAAGGATATTATTTTGGGATGGTTAGAGTGTTTTGGAAAAAATATTTTGTAGTGGGTTATGTACTGAAGCACTTCAGAATAATTCTGAAAAATTATTTTGGGGGGTCACCCTAGTGATTTTACCCAGGGTAGCCCGCATGGTTTTTGATTTGTTTTTGCGTGAACAAATCCGCTACGGATCATAGTTTTAAGATGTTTTAAGTGCTTGTGGTGTTGTTATTTGTGTAGTTTATACATGAACTCATTTAATTTAAGGTGTGTTTTTGTTTGGTTCGCTGTTTGTTTCTCTTCGCCGTTCTAGGCCACAATGCTGCTGTTTTGACCTAGGTCCTAGTGGAACAAGCGCATGCGTTCGAGCTCAACAGCTTGTGTGGCTGGGCAACAGCAAAGAATGGACCAGTGGAACCGGAGGAACCAGTGGAACCCGTTGCACCCAAGGACGTCATTGAACGCATTTGTCACTAAACAAAGGCCCTTGTTGATTGTTTGGCATATAGGGGCTATAGAACCTGCTTTGTTGGTCCATAATAATGGCACATCAAGCAGTATGAAGCAGTAAAGTGTAAGTGGAAACGGTTTTTCATAGTTTGTTCAGCCTGGAAAAGATGATCATTGACGAGCCAAGCCGCAGACCCATTGCTTTTGCAGAAGGCCACTTGCTCCGGGTTACGCATGTGTTTTATTTGATCTAAGCAAAGGATTGGCTGCAAGGGTTAGACACAGTTAGACTAAATGGCAGGTTGCTGGCATTTCCGACCAGTTGATACTTGCACGTGATTGCAAATTACCGTCACACGACACATTTTTCCCACATTTTTCCAGAGTTCAAATTGTACCACCCTTCAAAGTCCACACTTGTCAATCTTTGTCCTTCAAGACTAAGATTTGTTCAGATTTGTTCCATTGTTTTGAAACGTTTTCCCTGCAAACAAGGGTTCGCCTACAAATAGGGCACCCCAAATGCCCATGGTCTATCATAATTTTCCCCATTCAATTGACCATAAAAAAATACATCATGTTGTATGGCCCTGTTGGAGACAAACCTCACGCGTTCATATATATAGATATATAATGATATATATATATATATAGAGATGCATGTATCTCTGCACATCTACATATCATGATATATATATATATACACAAAGATTGTACAACAGTACACATCTAGCTGGCTAGCCAGCTATGTATCATATTTATTTGTCTATATCTATTTATCCATCTAGTTTACTAGAAATCGCGCATCACTCAGGTGAGGACGCGGCCTTCTCGGCCATCGAACGGCTCAACGAGGCCACGGTGGTTCAACTGGTGAAGGGCCTCAGGACGGGGAGATCAGCGCCGGGGAGGTCGGCGCCGGGGCGCTTAGGAAAAGATCGGAAAATTAGCATTTGACCCATGGAAAATAGTGCTGTTAGCTGTAGAATTTGAGGAGATTCCATGAAATTGAGGATTTAAGACTCCAGAAAATCGAGAAAATGGTGGTTTAACCAGCAGAAAGTTGGGTTTAAACTAGCAGATGTTTGGGAATTTGACCATGAAACATGATTTAGCTAATCATCAACAACACAGCTTATCAACTAACAATCACGTGATTAGATCAGAAACGGTCTTCAGTTTCCAGCGGAAAGAATGATGACTTGTTGTTTTTTCGAACAATGCAGCCGGGAAGATTTGACCCACAAGTTTGGCTCCTCTGAGAGGAACCAGCTGGGGCATGGGGTGTACTGCCAAAGTAGACCAAACATGACCAAACATGGGGTGCTCAACCAACAACAAGCGACAGATTCTTCGAGACAGAGCAAAGGAGGTCCTTAAACAACAAGCACAAGAACTTGCTGTCACATGAAATACCACATCACCGAATAATTTCCCAACAATGGGTAATGTCATTGGCAAGTTGACATCGATGAGTTTGGCACTGCAAATGTGGGTGCAAACAGTTTGTTGAAATCGTTGCTCGGGGTCCGTGTCAGGACTTTCTATAAGGCTGGGTCTCTTAAGGTTACTCAGCTGCACTTTTGTTGTAAGCAGGCGCCCTCATTGAATTTTGGATCAAAAAAGGTGGATTTCAAGATGTTCCAATTACAGTATCATCGATCTTTCCCAAGGATGGAGAGCTCCAATGAATAAAACTTCTAGCCTTGCAATGATGATTGACCCAGTTTCATCCGTGCCCGGCATGTTCATCCACAGATTGAGTCAGCAAAGGAAGAGTGGGAGAACCTGGTCAGACAAGTCAGAGCCAGTCCGGATTTGTGTCAAGCAGCCCTGCTCGACAGCTGAGCGAAACGCTCAGTGAATGCGTCGTTTTTGTCTCACTGCCGGGCTGGCTGCGTCATGAGAGCGGTCCCATGTTTCGGGACCGCTGACTGGCGGTATGTTCATGACGCCGGTTTATTTCCAAAGCCGGGATGAAAGGAAAGACCCCCCAGAGGATTATCGGGATGAACAATCCTGAGTGGGAGTGTGGCAAGAAGTAAGAACAGCGACAAATATCCACTGTGGGCATTGATGCATATTATGTGTAGCGCATATATATATATATATATATTACTTTATATATACACATATTTACGTGTATATATATGTATATACATACACATACAGTGTGTATGTATGTATACATACATTTATTTAGTCAGTTAATTATTTATTTATTGTTGATTCAAAATGCTTACATACATATGCGTACATTCTATGCATGCATACATACCAAATTACAGAATACAGTATGCACATGCACCTAGACACATACATATTTATGTGCATTTAAATTCAGTGATGAACCAAATCAATTATTGTGCATAGTAGTCTTTGGGGTTGGGTCAAAACACCAATCAGTAAACAGTAGTGTCCATCTTAGGAAGGTGCTGTGATAGCACATGTCTATGGTCGCGGAAGTACAACCTCCAATATTTGCACGACCAACAATTGTCCGTTCTGGTTTGGTGACCTCTTCAAATATTTTCGCCGAAGGTCTAGATATTAAAGGTGTTTAGGCTTATTCAAGGTGACGGTTTGTGTATTTTTGCTGCATGACTACAAGATACTGAATTTTGAATGGCAGCCAGTCAAGCATCGCATTGAGTTGCTGGCCCCGCGGGCTTGAGATAAGCTTGCCCCTGCGCCCGCCGGGATCATGTTTGTTCCCATGATATGGCCTTTAAATGCATGGAATTATCCTTGTTTGATTATATAGTATCATTATATCATTGCTATTGTCATTGCTGTTCTTTTGTTTTTGTTTATTACTATATTACTGTATTTGCAATGAGCATGAGTATTATGAAGAAATATATATATATAGTAAGGTGATTTTTTTTGGAACAAATATATTAAATATGTTATTGTTATGACTATCAGTTGTTTATTATGATGCCTTGTATTGAAATGTGCATCACACACAGACACACACACACAGAGGGTCAAAATTGAGTATCCCAATTCTTGGATGACAAAAGTGGGCTCAAAAATCTGTGGCCCCCGAAGTCTGAAATGTTGACCCATACCCATACACGGCCATGACCCGCGCGATGGCGCAGGAAATTCCACAGCTGCACAGCTGCTGTGGCCGTTGTTTCACTGTCGTATCTCAAAGCTCGAGAACGATGAGGGTCATCAGATCCAGACAGTTAACCTGTTGCTAAGATCGCTGATAAGATGGGGAGTTATAGTGAATTGAGCTAATCACATACTGAACGTTTTATAACATAAAAATAATTTGTATATATATTATTTTCAGAATAAATTTACTGTAATACAATCAAATGCAATATGATATATATATATATACATATAACATGTACTTTTTGTATACAGTAATGGTTCAATGCAATATATCTAATTATATATATTTATATGTGCACAAAATGTTCAAATCTACATTGGTAAGATCACACATATATATATATTTATTTATTTATTCATATGTATGTTATAATTATATGTATATATATATATACATGTTTTCGTATGTATATATATATATATCAAATATATATATATATTCACACAATGTTGAAATCTACATTGGTAAGATCACAAATATATATATATATACATATAAATATCATATAATTATATTATATAATAATACACGTATATTATCATTTATGTATCATATATATATATACATATATATATATATATATCATATATATATATATATATCGTATATCACGAAAGCTAGCGTCAGCTAGCTGGAGTCTTCTTGCTTTAGCAAGTATTGGGGGGGCTGCTCAAGGACATCACGTGATTTTTCACGCGAAAGGCCCCCCCCCCCCCAGCCCCACCACCATCACCATCATCGTCATCATCGTCATCATCGTCATCATCGTCATCATCGTCATCATCGTCATCATCGTCATCATCGTCATCGGTTTCGTCATCGTCATGGTCATTGGCATCGTTCTCGTCATCGTGATCATCATCATCATCATCATCATGAGCATCATCATCATCATCATCATCTTCTCATCCATCTCATCCTCACCATCATCCCGATCATCTGTCGCATCCGCTTCATCATCATCATCACCACCATCATCATCATCATCATTATCATCATCATCACCATCATCATCATCATCATCAATATCATCATCACCATCATCATCATGAGCATCACCATCACCATCATCATCAGCATCATCATCACCATCATCACCATCGTCATCGTCATCATCATCATCATCATCATCATCGTCATCATCATCACCATCATCATCATCATCATCATCGTCATTGTCAGTGTCATTGTCTTCGCCATTGTCCTCGTCATCGTCATTGTCATCGTCACCGTCATTGTCATTTTCAGCCGTCATCGTCGTTGTCAGCGTCAGCGTCATTGTCATCGTCATCAACTTTGTTATTATCATCATCATCATAATCATCATCACCATCATCATCATCACCATCCTCATCATCATTGTCATCCCCCCCCTTGGTCCCTCCCCGAGCCTTCCCGAGAGGAGATTTCCGGCTGGTAGAGGGTCAGCATCCTCACTTAGGGTTTGACGCGGAAACGCCACCGACATTTCCCTGCTGACACTCAAGCTACGTCTTCCCTTCCTTCTTTCTCCTACCCCGCTAGCTTTTGTCATCCACCCCCGGCTTCAAGTATATATATATATATTTACATCATATAAAAACATCAAACATAAATATCATTTATAAATATCATATATATATTTTTATGTATATATATATATATATACATTAATATACTATATATAATATATGTTCATGTACTATATATATATATGTTTATATTATATATATATATACACGTCATATAAAAATATCAAATATAAATATCATATATAAATATTTTTGTTTATATATATATATATACTTATATTTTTTTTATATACTATATATATATATATCATATATATATATATATCATATTTATATATTACATATATAAATATATCATATATACAAAATGGCCAACAATCATTTGGCCAGTTATTTGGACAATCAAAAACTTCACTGTTCAATGGTTTCTTACGGGGTTCACGGAGCCATGAGAATCATGTTCTCTACAGATATGTTTCTTGCAGGTGCCACATGGTGCCACTTTGTGTTGGATCTTCTGAGATTTTAAAGTATTTTCCGATAGGTCAGGGTGGCTGGAAACCAAAGATGAACCGCCTGCAACCATCATAAACTAATATAAACTATGAATGCTCAAGAAAATGCGGGTGCCATGAGTGCCATGCCTGACCGTTAGGTATTGTATTGCAGGATGGTTTATTGCCTCAACTCTCAGTGCCGGCCATTGACAAGACAAGGCCGTCCTCGCTTTGAAAAACTTGGCACGTCGCTGAAGGGAAACCCTGTCCAATGGGGGGGGCAAAAAATAACAAAAATAACAAAAATAGTTTCCTTGGAGGGCAAGACTTAGCCTTAGCACTTGCACTTAGGCCCCATTTGGGCACCCAAAAACAAAAATGTTGTTTTTCATTTCTTAACGGTCCGATTCCAAAGATAAGAACATCAACATTCATGAAGGTTCAGAGCAGCACACATTGATATTAACATCTTCATATTATCGTGATTTCTTTGGCCACAGAGTGTTTCGTCTTGCGTCTTGCGAAAGGATTTTCAGCAATGGATCAGCAGGTACATCAGCCCCAGATATTTGGAAAGTCCAAATCTTCAAGAAGCCTTGGCTGCTCGGCCGCGAGATAGCCACATTGAAAAAGGGCGGACATGTAGCCATGGCTTAAAATGTTGACCCCATAAAGCTGCAATTAGTTTTAGAACAGGTCCGTAGTATATGCATGTATTTGTTATCGCCTGAATGGACTGGCAGTTTCGATGTTCTTTCTGTTCAATCCCCCCTTGGGATGATGCCCAGTGCCAGTAGAGGACCACAGCCCATGCATGTAATATTGTTGTCCATCAATTCCACGAGATTCCTATTAGATCCCCATGAAAGATCCCCATAAGCCCATAAGATAACTGTTGTGACAGGGTCAGCCGCTTGCAGGTTGAATCTAAATCCCGTTTGCACAGGTGTTGTTTGCCGGTTCAACCAGGCCCTTTAAGAAAACATCGGCTGCAGCGACGCGATCTGAGGGGGATGCTTTCTTTGACCGCGGCCGCTCCGCATCCCTTCCAGTGCGCAACTACGATAGGCCGGAGTTCCGAGACGCCGCTTCCATCGAATCCCGAGACCACGGATCAGCCTTCCAACCCCACTGCATCGCGGGATCTATGTTACTTACTGTTCGTTGAAGGGATAGTATAAATTCATAAAACATCATATGACATATGTTCTCTTATTCTCTTTTAAACGCTCGCGGTGAAACCGTGGTGTTGGTTGCTATGCTGCCCCTTTCTGCACTTACTCCCCGGTAGATAGCTATTCTTAAGAGGTAAATCAGTTGCGTCATGTGTCGTTTTCCAGCATACTATGCTTGATAACTGCAGGATTACCGTGATTCCGTACCAATGTATACTTATATATATAATATTATAATATTATTCTTTATTATAGCAATAAAAGTAAGAAGAACAACAATGGTAAACATAATCTTAATAATTACAATATATTACAATACAATAATAATAACATGCTATGAATATACTTGGCTTCCATTCCATTCTTCATGGTGAACTCCAAGTGATCTATAATCCATAAACCCCTTGGTATGGAGCAAATCCATACACTAGTTGATTCACTTGCCATGTCGTTCAACCCCCATGTTTGACAGTGAACGCACCATTTGGATCACTGGGCATTTGGGATGCACATTAGGTGTGTTGATTCAATGCTGATTTGCTCCTTAAATCCTAAATAGTGTTGGTTCAAAACTTGACCATCCAACTTTTTGTTGGTCAAACATCCAAGTTTGTATTGGGAAAGTATGCAAAAACAAAATGGAAATCATGCCACCAATAGATACCAATAGCCCCATGTTTGCCTGACAACAAATCTTAAAATTGATCCTTCTCAAATCCAATTTCAATTCACCATCCGGTGATGAACCATCAACTTGATAACCATCCATGGTCGCAAAAATAGAAGCGTTCATAGCGGTGAAATTGCATTTTTCTTAGGATCCAATAATTTCCTTTTCATATTTTTTTGATGGCATTTAAACGTACCATGATGAGGATGATGATAGGATCCTCAATTCCCCAATCATATTATATCACAATGAGATTGGATCCCTATAGGTCAATAGATTAGTTTGAGGGGAAATCTACAGGAAACCATGGATCCGTTATGATTTTTCCATGATATCTGCGGGTTTCCTCGTAAACAATCCACAGGGTTCGCTGGTGCCAAGCATTTTCCATGGCCAAGTTCTGTAGGTCCTCACTACTGCGCCCCCCACGCGGCACCGGCACCGGCGGCACTGGCATTGCACCCGCGACCTCTGGCGGGTCGTCGTCTTCGGAGTCGCAGCGGGGCATGGACCAGGCAGCTTGACCGGGGAATGGATGGATTTTCAGGACCATAAATATATAAATGCCATAAGTGTTGTAAACGCAGAGCTAGGAATTTCCAATTTTACCAGAAATGGGGATTGAAACACGCAGACGAGTCGCCATGCCATGTTTCAAGGCTGTTTAGTGATGGTTTGCATACCGGAGATCCACCCTGCATCCAATGTCTCGGCAGCTTTTCAGGCGACCAAGTGCTGGTCACGGGAAGTGCTGCTGCACATGATATGACTGGATGTTGGGCATAATCTTGGTTTGTTGATGTGTATGTATTTATATATATATCACTTATTTTATAATGTATAGAAAGTAAGAAATCAAACCAAAGTGGTTTGCGGTCTTTCAGAATCTTTCAGATGGTCCCAATGGGCCGCTGGTTGCACCTTTACGCCAGGAAGAAGTGCCAACGGCCGCAGGTGCAACACCTGAATTCTCAGGGGGGGTGGTTATCCTGGGGACACTGTTTGGTGGATTGGCTGATGGTTTCTTACACATATAATATATATATATATTATATATATTATATATTATATATAAATTACTATATATATGTATATATATATATATTATGTGTGTGTGTGAATTTCAACCATGGACCATGCATGACCATGCATCATATTTGGGATGATCCAAACTGACCAATGTTTGCCAGGGGGGTTGGAGCCACAAATGCCGGGCCCAGATAGGTTGCATGAGTAAAACCAGCAGCCAACTAGCACCTGGTCAAGCCTTCCACGGTTACTAGAAAAGGGATCCCTTACTGGATTTCACCCAATTTCAATCACTTCCAGGAAGAATATACGTAAGGCTGCGAGATGTGAGCTTGCAGGCTCCCCTGAAATGGAGATGCGCGTGGTGGATCAGGCACCGCCATCCGAGTTGCTTCGCCTTGGCCATTGCACTGACAATGGCTGAATTTGGCCGAAGGAACCAGATGTTTAATTGCGTTTAACATCGTTTAGTCACGTGCTGCGGTGATTTCTATAGGTTGATGCAATTATGTTTGATTATCCTGATGATGCGAGAGAGTGATGTGCCATATGACTCTTCGAGGCGTAGGGTTAAAGACTCACCTAAAACATGCACAATTACGAGTGATCCATGCTGCAATTGCTGTGCATACCAAGGAGATGGATTATACCCTTCATGATCCCTCATTCATTGGCCTATGGTGATGCGATAGACCTGGAAGGAATGATTCCACAGTTTGCACTAAGACCTATATGAACGATAGTTATAGCGTATTTCAATGGAGTTTCCGGCTATGTGAGGTTACCCCCACCCACCCATTCCTGATGTGGCAAAGCCTAGCGTGCATGTTCTTGAACTCACCAACCATGGAAGGTTTTTGATTGGTAGTGGAGAGAGAGGGGGAAAGGAGAGAGATTGGGTTTACTAAATGAACAACGTTGGGATGTTAATTTATTCCCAATCACAAGCGCTCCCCTAGTTTTAAGATTTTTGAGTTGCTTTACAGTATAAGCCCATTCAACTCCTTAGATATACACTCCAAATCCAACAGTTATTGCAGTTGTAAACAGGCAAAATCTATCTTTTAGGGCCGACACTGTATGGTTATACAACCATATTTGGTATTTGGTGAACTATTTCCCTATTATATTTGCTATATTACATTTCAAGTACTAGTACAATAATGCATTATTGGGTTTCATGAAACATTAGGTACCTACTATCATATGAGATTCGACATACCAGACTAATTCCCAAAATATCAGCAGTTTTTTTACTCATTAGTCTTGACCCCTGGTTGGGACAGACCGTGCAAAGAGATTCTATCCATCGATCTATCCATCTACCTGTTTTGTCTATAAATATGATTATATGATACTATATATATATAGTCATATAGTATTATCATATCATGTCGTGTATTGCAACCACCAAAAAATGAAAAACAACGTCCTACTACTAAAAGTACTATTAAATAGCGTTAAGTATTGTTAAGTTGCTTTTCCTTTTTTTGGGGGGGTACTTTAGATCTATTTCATAGTGTTACGCTTTTGTCCTACTTGGGGGGTCTCTCCAGCTGGGCCAGGTCCAAGAAGCTTTAGAAGAAATCTACACGGGAGCCGCACACCTTCGGAACAGGCCCCATAGTTAGCAGAGTTGGTTTATAACTCTAACTATTGGGCCATAGGGTTTTATTGTGGGTTTATGGTAGATATATACTATGCCGGAAACCAATTGGGGGAAACCAATTGGAGTTGACGAGTTGACCCGTGTTTTTTTCGGTCTAACTCCTGGGATCTCCTGGGTTTTGCCAAACTCGAAACCAAGCCAGTGACAGCTTCCTGCAGGATGCCACATGCTTCAGGCCCGGACTTTCTGAGAAGTGATCCCAACTTGGGCTGCTGACTTCTTCAGTCAGTTTTTGGATGGTGTGCTTTTGTATTTGACATTGCAGACACGTTTGTATATCATTATATATAGGTCTATAAAGTCTATATATATATTATAATGATTATGATTATACATATAGTTATATTATATGCGTATATTAAATAGTTGCATACATGTTCATAAACAATTTACTAATGATAGTAGTAAAAGTATAACAGAAACTGAACTTAACTTTTGAAAATCCGGTCATCCTGCCGCTTGAGATGGGCATCATGCGCCGTCCTTCACCACGCAGCGCATGACGATCTCCCTGATTGTAATAAGTGTTTTTTACATTTCATGATGCCAAGCAGGTATAGTAAACATCAAGTTGGTTCCGCTCAAAATCCGCTCACTTGAATTGGCCATCCCGTGACATTACCATGATTCATTTCTCACATCAGGAGACAACCTGGCTGGTTTCCAACCATGAAACTGATCATTGTTCCCACTTTTCCAGGGTCAACAGGGAGATTTGGCACCGTTTTTTGCTGCTCAAAGGGGCCCCGGCCGACTTCGGCGCCCCTCAGGGCGCCCTCTCGCCGTGGCCCCGTGACCATGGCTCGCGGCAAGCGGATGAGTCGTCAGACCACCAGCCCCATCGAGGATCACATCGAACCTCTGCTGAGTGGATGTAGGGGTTTCCAAAATGGGGGTTAGCTCCAGATGGTCAAAAATTCATGGAAAATACCATGGAAATGGATGATTTGGGAGTACCCCTATTTCAGGAAATCTCCATGTTTTCTTGTTGTTTTTTGTCCAATGATGTGAATTCACCATCTATAGATCCATTTAAGTCATGTTTTTCCGAATCCAAGCAAGTACATCATCCCCCGATCATAGAATATTCCATCCCCAAAAATGGTTCCCAGAACGAATACAGTATATACGTATATACGTATATATATATATATATATGTGTTTTTAATCTATCTATCTATCTATCTATCTATCTATCTATCTCTATCTATCTATCTATCTATCTATCTCTATCTATCTATCTATCTATATCTATCTATCTATCTATATCTATCTATCTATATCTATCTATCTATCTATCTATCTCTATCTCTATCTCTATCTCTATCTATCTATCTATCTATCTCTTTCTATCTATCTATCTATCTTTCTATCTATCTATCTATCTCTATCTATCTATCTATCTCTATCTATCTATCTATCTATCTATCTATCTCTAGCTATCTATCTATCTATCTATCTATCTATCTAAATCTATATATATATATATATATGTAGTTATATATGTATATAGATCCAATGCATAACCTTGTTTTTTGGTTTGTATTTAAGTTATGATTACGGGGGAGGGATTGCCATAACTGAACGTTCAATACTGAGACTTCAATTCAAGAGGTCATGCCAACCTAATAAGTTTGCTGAACATTGCTGGACAACTTTGATTTGTAGTACAGTATCCCCAAAAAAGATAAAAATAGTAAAATTCTAGAATAGTGACTAGATCATACTAGTTCAATTTCTATCTCTTTGGGGCCGTTCTATTATAGTTTGTGTTTAATCATTTGTTCATTGGTCAATCCACCAGAAGTCCAAGGAACGTCTCCGGGTCCAGCGCATGAGCAGCAAAGCACCAGAGGATCGTGACTGGCCCGGGCGCTTTAATCCAGGGCAGAGGGCGTACATTGAGATCAGGCCTGGTGGCACGTCGAAAATGTGAAGAAACAGCGCATTTTATACATGTAATATCATATCATTATACTCATAATTATATATATATATATAAAAGTATGAATATGAAAGACAAATATTTAATGAAATATAAAAAGATATAAAGTCATATTTAATTTAAGATAATGTAAGACAACCAGGCTACTCAATGTGACCCTTTTGATTCTTTTTCATGTTCAACCCCCCGGAGAAGGTCACTTAGATAAAATCATATCAAAGGGTATTTTAGCCATTTATCAAATGGTCACTTAGACTACCAAAGAGGTCACTTAGCCATCCTTAGGATCCGTCAGGTCTGATGTCCAGGCTTTGAATTTGTTTGGGATGAAAATAAGCATGTCGACCCAAATCCTGCACTGTGGCGTAAGTGACCTTTTCTGACACGCTTTAACACGCATTGACACGCACCACCGCAAAATGCACTAAAATGCTAAGTGACCTCTTTCTACATGCTAAGTGCCCTTTTTTTATGCTAAGTTACCTCTTTCTTGATATTCCCCACCCTTCGACGACACGCTCGTGACACGCTTTGACACGCATTGACACTCATTAAAAAGAGGCAATCGCAATCTAAGCACCAAAGGACTGTAACAGGTGAGGGAAGTAGCGCGGAACCTATATCCAAGCCCCATTTGGGAAACTCAAACCCACAAAAAGGTAACTTAGCAAAGAAGAAAAGAGGTCACTTGGCAAACCAGTATGTCATAAGTGTCATCTTTTTTCTTTTGGTCTAGGTGACCTCTAAAAGAGGTCACAAAGAACGTCATTAATATCATATGACATAACATAATATAATATAATATAAAGCCCGTAAGTTATTGCCATGGTGATTGGGAATTGGGAACAGCATTACGTTCACCTGCGAACCTGGTCTCGGCTCTATTGTTTAGTTTTTCTTTTTATGACATCCCATTGGCAATGTGCCAGATTTTGAGTTGGCCCCCAAAAAGTTTATTGATATGTTTGGGACGCTTATGTTGGCCTCAACGAAAAGTCCAACCCTTTGAGTCCTGAGAGGCACTACAGCCATACCACCAACATGTTGATCTCCCGCTCCGGATTTCAGCGCTTGGCGCGAGACATGTGCCAACAAGTGTCACAGGAGAAGTATGACGAGTGGAAGACCGGGCAGGTCACTGGTTTGGGATATCACGCCACAACGACCGAATAGATCCAATAGCAGAAAAAGAAAGTTGATAGGGAGAATCAACCCATGTCATGGCTGTCTGGCCTGGTTCAGCTCCATGAGGACCCCAGCTTGACTAGACAGTTGCATCATTGTCTATACCTTTTGGATCCTTTTGGAACTTTATGGGTTTTGTTGAGACTTTTGTGTTCCCAGATGTTCCTGAGCCACTGTAGTTCTTGCAGAGGTACTGGTACAGGCATTAAATTAATTTAAATTACACATTCATGTAGACAAATATGCCAGGAAGGGTAGTGCAGTTGGTGTACCATTGCGGTAGGTTACAGCGAGCTCAGCCAAGCCCCATAGATGATCGTCGTGAGCGAAACCATCCCATGATAGCTTGTTTCTGGTTAGGAAAATGCAACAATTTGTCACAGCTGGTTGGGCAGCAAAGTATCGAACAAGCATGAACAAGCAATGATATCAGATGATACGGTAATCATTTGGGTGAAGTATATCCCTACTGTAGTTTCTACAGAGAGACTCAAAGACTTTGTGTGTGTGTGTGTGTCTTAAGCCATAAAAACCAGAAGCATAAGCATAGAAACCTTCCTTATTAGCCACGCCAAATTCATCTACAAATAGCTATAAATAGCATTAAATAGCTATATAATCAATGCAGGATTTGCGTTGCAATTGGTTAGAACTTGCCATTTTACCAGGTCTAAAAAAACCACACAACATGGGTTCGTTTCGGGCCCGTTTTGGGTGAGCCACGGTTGGGAACCCGTCCGCAGAGGTGAAGTACATCGACGGCTGGGAGCCGCCCCAGATGTACCGAATGGAGGTGCAGGGCCTCGCTTGTCTGCAGGAAGCTTGCGAGGGCTTGCTGGTGGCCCCTTGGTTCAGAGGCCATGTATCTTTGTTTCAACTTCAATCACAATCATAGATTCAATTATGTAATATGATATTGGGACTCTTGGGATTATATATGGGTTTGTCCAACAATATAGAGGTGGAGTATACCTCGTAAGATTGCATTGTGGTTTTATGAAGATGATGACAATCCAATGGAATTGTGGGATAGATTGGAATCGCCTCTCCCGCAAAGCCATATATACATACATATACATATAATATAATATAATATATATATATACATCATATCAGTCATATCATGTCAAATGTCAAATTGTCTCCATATTTTGAGACAACCCCGGCAGAATGACCATGTCCATATATTTGTTTCAGGTTGGTAAGAAATGAATCATTCGTGAGGTTCAGCTATAAAGCTCCAGTTTCTGCTCATGGGTTGCGACGAAAGTGCACACTTTGTCAAAATGAACTTGGCTACCTGGTTTGTTGTCAATTTCAATGACTGCCTGGAGCATTCCATGGTATTCGCATATAAAAGATGTCCATCGACTTCCCATATCATATTTTCTTTCCCCTTCTGAGGCCATGATGGAAGAGATGAACCACTCGGCTATCCATGCCAAGCGTGTCACTATCATGCCCAAAGATTTGGCCTTAGTGAGTCGCCTCAGTGGTACCAACGCCTACCAGAACTACGGCCTGCAGAAGCCCAGCCGCGAGGCGGACTTGGGCGCTCCGCGTGCAGAGGCCGCAGAGCCGGGGCCGCCCCGGAAACGGCCGGCCGCGCAGGCGGAGGGGCCGGAAGGGAAGCGAAAACGAAAGAAGAAGGACGGCTGAGGACGGCTGAGGACGGGCCATCCTGACATGACAGTGGCACTGAGAAAAAGGTGCCGAGATGCTGGAGGTGTTTGAGGGAATATCCACAAAGAGTCCACCAAGCACTGGCTCACAAGATAATTTATAGATAATTTCGATTTGTCATGAATTGTCATGATTATTTTGATGCAATAGAAGTTACCACATCCCCATTCCCCATCACCATCATTCATCGTGATTTCATGTGATTTCCCCATTTTCTAGTCATCACATCATCATATTATCTATCTAAATCATCTAAAATCACAATGTTCCCTTGGTTAACTATCATGTTTCCCTAGCTAAATCACCAGTTTCCTGGCTTTATTAAACCCAATCACCCTCTGTTGCAGTGCATGGCCCCGGTCATGCTGCCACATCGCCTGCCAGGCCAGCTATTGTCCGCCCTTAATGACTTAGATCAGCACATCTCGCAGGCGAAAATGGATGGTTTGTGTAATCTCTTCCTCCTAATATTCAACAACATTTTAATAGTCCCTTAATGGTTTCCAGGGGTCTTCAGTATTAGAGGGAACGGATTTCTAAGATCATGAGGAAAACATTTGAGGTTCGATGGGTTCCTGCAACACAATCGCTCTTGGGGGTTGATTTGAAAGTATGGTACCCTGCATTTCCATGGTTGAGCATTTGTTCCCCAATAATACTGTGCTTATGTAACTTTACAAGGCTTTACACCAAATAATTTACACGTACAATTAGATGTATATATTACGTGAATAAACATATTATATATATATGTGTAAATGCATGTGTAGTTTATTTATCTATTTACATTTTACATGATTATCTACATGCATGCATGCATATATATATATATACACTTGTGAACATGTACGTAAATTGTTTGCATACATATGTATACATATGTATATGTATGTGATGTTATGTAATGTAGTGTAATGTGATGCGATGTAATGTAATGTACGTAAGTGAAATTTAATGTAACATTGTATGGATGTATGATAATGTATGTATACATTTGCATTTGTGAATATATATATATATCATTATGTTACACCCCATGATGCATCCAATATCCCATTACCATATAATTATATATTCATGATATGCAAGCTAATACCAAGTATGTTCCTATTTCATGTAAATTCCAAATCCATAAGACGCTGGGTGCCCATCATGTAAACCCTTTGGAACATATATATATATATATATATATTTATTTATGTATATAGGTATATATATATATATATGTATATATATTCCCATTTTAGATACCCGGTATAGCCCCATTGTGTGCCCATGATACCCACCTTTCCCCCCCCTATGATCTCCCTACGAAGTTCCCAACGTTTTAACGGGACGGCAGGTGGAGAACCTGGTGAAGAATCGCTTCAAGAGCTAGTCACTGCCAAAAGCTGGGCTGCTGCTGGAAGTTGTGCCATTCACCAAGTAGGGATGATATATACATAAATATATATATATATATGGTGGTTTGGAACATTTTTTATTTTCCCCAATAGTTGGGATGATGATCCACTCTGACTAATATTTTTGCAGGTGGGTTGAAACCACCAATTAGAAACCCACATTAAGCCGTTGTATGGCAAATGTGTTTTTATTACTATTATTATTGTTTCCTCTGGGACTACCGCATTGAACGGCTTAGTATTATAGGATCATTCCACGGAGGATCCAGGACATGTACTTTTGCAATTTCAAATCCTTGAGCAGACCATGCAAACGAAAAAACAACATGTCATCATATACAATATGTCTACCCCGTGAATTTTACATAATTGTCTTCCAACGACTTTACACATTTGTTCATTATCATGCTCCGCAATATGGGTGGATGGTTACTTATGAATTTAGATGTTTTTAGCAGGGGTCGGCTATATGAAAACTAGCTCCCAATTGGCTGAAATCCACCAGTTTTCGCCGAACTTGGCCATGGCGTCGCTCGAGTTGCTGGGTGAAGAGGCAGGGCGTCCCCAGCAATGGGAAGATTAAAATGTAAGGGGAAAAGGTTCAAACATATCAACAAAGATCAACAGTTTTATGAGTTTTATGTTTATCATGTTTCGACTTTAAACCTGGCATTATCACACCCAGCGGCTAAAGAAATGTTATTCGGGGATTGATTGGGCCACGCACCTGTGAGTTTAGATGGAATTACTATTCTTTTGGGCGATTAGATGGGCACCACCAAGACCACAATTTCAACACGGCCAGCAAAACCGACAAATTTTGAGCCTCAACCACCCAAAACTGTTCGTGTTGTACAAGCATTTCTCGTATTTCACCAAGAAGTTTCCGGAACATTTGGGGAGTTGAGCTGTGGTGTAGGCCTTCCTGGTGCCTTATTTGGTGCCGCGCGAGCTCCTGGCACTAGCAACTTCACAGAAAATTACCCTTTGTATCCCTTTGTGGTGTCATCAAACAATAGAATACTATGGACATGTCACCAATATATAGTTTGTGAATGGGTAATGTTACCAAATACTCATGATTGTTGGGTATGGAAATATTTTAGTAAACCCAATATATAATGAAACCAACCCAGTAATCAACTAGGGGTATACCCAATGCGTGTACCTCATTCATGTTCCATTTGTTTTTCCATGGGAATGTAATAACTACCATATATAATATTGAATTATCATGCATATAGTGGGACACCAATTTATATAACCATCAGCGAAGGATAGCAATACGGTTATTTAATGTTATTTGCATATATTTAATCATAATATAATATATAACTATTTATTCATTTTAACTGGAATGGTGATGAATGGTTGGGTACATCAACGAACCATAATGGAGACATAATGGAGATATAATGCGGATATATCAAACATGGCTGGATGGGAAATCCCCGAACTCGGCATCGAGGTCTGAATGGGAACATCATCTACTGTAACTATATCCAGGGTTTTCCACTACGCCATGTTCGATGACCCTGGAGGGTATGGATTCCAGTCAAAAAAAACTAGGAAGGTCGCAACAGTGTCATCATCTTTTAAAAAGAACTACCCTCCGATACTCACATGTAGCAATGTAGCAATGGGAAATTCGTGGAGGTTTTATATAGTGGGGAAGTCGTCTATGAATCGGCAATTTTTAATTTCCACGTTTACCAGAGAGCTTGCCTGGATTTGCCTGGTTTCAATTGGATTTGACCAGAAATTGGATCGACCCCAATATATGGTTTGATTTCTATGCAACACATGATGATAAACCAGTTTTTTTTTGGGAGGGGTCCTATTTTCAGAGAAACCCAATCAATGATTGATAATCAGAATTTCCATGGCTATTGGGAAACTGGATAATTATTGGAATATCTATGAAAATGTCCTGTGGAAAAAAGTCCCTCACATCAATCCTGTCAAAGTTGTCGAATTCTAGCATTGGATCAAGTAAGAACCAGGGTTGGTAGTTTGAACTGCAATGGCCCACAGAATGATAAACAAGTCATATCCTACCTGTCCGCGCGAATCTATGATGACTCGTGACCCCAATGATTTTTCAAGTTTTTGAGTTTGAGACAGAAACCAAAAGAGTCTATCCAATCAAGAATAGTCAAGAATCTGTCTAACCAAGTTCAGTGATTTACCAAGCAGAAACATCTTTGACATTTGAGATTTATCCAAGTCTGAAGTCTCTATAGACAACCTCACTTGGGCGATCCTGATCAGGACTTGTGGCCACGTATGACACCCTTTGGTAATTTTACATTGCGATATTAATGGCGATGGAACATGACCATTTTTTAAAGGGAAATCATCTGTGAATGGGCCATCCATAGCCTATAGCATAGCTATGTTGGTTTACTGGAGGGTATCAGGCTCAAATATAAGTGGTGACTATATTTGGCAAAGTTTAGCATCTTTAATCACTTTGTGAGGGTCAGAGTTTGATAGTTTGGGTTTCCCTATCACCAAGCAGCAATACGCAAAGGAAATGATCATTACCTTGCGCATTTTGTTGGTTATACATATACATATAGATACATACACATATGCATACCCAACCATCAATATATACTATCACCAACTAAATAAGAGGTTCTTTTCCAATAGATGACCGTGTTGCACAGGCACACAGCTTATTTCTGTCATCAATTGATTGAGTGGCACATATGGGTGTGTGTTCTAGAACCTGTAAACTTGGGAATGTTGAGTCTGAGTAGGACTCCAGCATAACCAGCCCATTTTCTAGGTACACAATTGTGATCCATATTGTGCATCCATTCCTGGTTTCAATTGTGAACATCCACAATGCGCACCTATGATCAACACAATCCTTCCAATGAAATTTTGATCAATCATCATTTTGGTCGATTAAACATGCCATAAAATACACTATATATTATATATCCACATTTTGGTAGGACCCCCCATTTTTCCCAGATTTTGTCTCACGGAAACTCTTGAGGAAAGCCTTTGGTCGGGGTCAGCATGGTATCGGTTTCAATTTTTATCAATTTTACACCCGACCCTTTCTTTGTTTGAGAATGTTTCCTCACCATTTTTTTGTCACTGTACAATTTCCCACATTGTGTTAATTAGTTATATTTGAGCATTTTATTGGTTATATTCCATGCCATCCCATGATATACCAATGATATCCCCAATATCCAGTGCCATCGAAGGCCCGGAGCTGCGCTTCAGAATGGCGCAGGGCGTTGGAAAGTGTCCGTGACAGTTATGGCGCTGGAGCTGTTGGAACCCAGGTGCGGAGCGTCTGGTGATTTTTCACGTAGCGAACTGGAAATTCACCCGTTTTAATAGACAAATCATCATAGACCACGATAATGATGCATGAGATTTACCTATGATATTTACCCATACCTATCATAATAGGCTATAAACTAATATGGCAACATCATCATAATGATATATGGGTCATTTTTCATAGCTATGTTAGTTTACCAGAGAGTAATATTGGGATCATGTTATCGTGGGATTATCGTGAGGTTTTTTATGGGATATTTACGGATACATCACAATGAACAGTTTTTGATTTTACCAATGGATAGGTTATATCATGGTATACGGTATATAATGATATATATAATGATATATAATGATATACAAATGATATATAATTAATGATATTCAATGATATATAATGATATATAATGATGAATAATGATATATAATGAAACATAACCACTAATTAATGGGATGGGACTGTTGTGAGCGGCAGAAAACTTGCTTAAAGGCTTAAATGAATGGCATTGTTTTTTTTTTGCAAATCCTTCTGATCCAGATATGAACAGGTTGCACTCTAAGCACATACTTGTGTTTGTCACCCAACTATGTGCTACTTTTCACCCAACTATGTGCTCAAAATTGTCATAAATCAAGACAGGCAGGTTTTTATTCAGAAATTGGACATCAAGTTCCATGCAATTCCCATGCAAAATCTTGTTAAATTCATATTATAGTTCTTGTTTAAGAGTCTCCTTGTGAAATATGTTGTTCTTATTGAATGCAATTAAGTAAATACATCAGAGTCAAAGAGCCATAAATGATCATAAATGTAAATACACACAATTCAGGAATTAGCATATTGAATCATATGTGCATCTTATATAATATCCTTGAAATAGTTTCATGAACCCTTCCAGTATCCCTTGCAAAATATAATGTTTTTTTTGTCTAAAAGATGCAGGGCGTCCCTAAAGATGTACAGCCTTCCATTTAGTGGTAAACATGGTTCTATAATATGTAGCATGAGTTTAACAGAGCGCATTCCTGTTCTAAACAATGAAGTATCACCAGCTTATAAAGAAGCATGTTTCATAAAGTTGCATTTTTCCTTTGAAAACGTACAATGTTTTTTTCAACAAGCAACACCCCTACAATTATGAAGGATTCCTCTACTCTACAATCTAAAAGATGTAGCATTCATTTCTGAAAAAGTGAAATCTTCTTCCACATGATATCCCTTCAAGTAGGCAATATTCCTGTGCCATATGTAGCGTGCTTTTCGATTTACAGCCACCCCTTTAATATGCAGAATTCATGTCAAAAGTGCAATACCCAATGCATCAGCACTACAGTCCTTCAACATCATGTCAAATGACTATGTTGTTTGCACACGGCAAGTACCCCACCATAAGACAATATAGTATCCTTTTCAATAAGCCATGTTTCTGCAAAAGTAAAAATAATTGTCTTCACACGTGTAGTGTTCATGTTGAGAAGGTTCAGTCTTCGTTTGTTGTTCCTTAAGCACCAGGTCTTTCTCTAAAGAAACTAGTTTCTGTATTCAATATGAAAGAGTTGTGCACTCTTCTTAATCAAGTGATTCCACCATTTATGCACCAAGGGACGACCATATTATTTCAGAAAGAGTGCTGCATGTGTAAAAGGATTACATGTTGGAATGAATTTCCATTGTCTTAAGATAATATTGCATCTCCCTCAAGAACGGGATAGCTTTTAAAGAAAAACAATACTTTACACACGTTCACACTTTTTTCAAGGAATATCATGCTCTTTTGACAAAAGGAACACTATAAACACAAAATAATTCCATCTTGAAATTTGGAATTATGTTTTGATGTCTGAGGAAATCTTGCACCCTTTTCAAAGAGATGATGATGCACTTTCTTGAAGGAACATATTCCAGATAGTTATAAATGTTATAAACATTCACTTCAAAGAATGCCATGATCACAAAAGAACACCATGGTATATATATATATGTGTGTGTGTGCATTTTTAAACATATATATTTATATATAATGACCTTAATTTGAAATGGTGTTGGGATCTGTTAGCAGAAGGCGCCATACTTTTATGAAATTGTGTGCGCATTGAAGGTCTATTTCAGACCATTACTGCACTCTTTTCAAAGATATTACAATCTTTCAAAGGGAATGCACAAAGTCAGGCCACACTTTCTGTAAGGAATATCACCTTCTTTGAAAAATAAGACTTGGGATCACAGATATTGGAAGATTGTATTGTATGTAAAAAAATGCCGAACCCATGGCCCATGTCCTAAGTGCACTTTGTCTGCTTTATTTTGTTTCCATTGTTGCGGCATGGTTTTTGAACAGTGCCAAATTCTGCAGAAAACTATATACAGTAGGTGGAAATAGATGAACTACAAAATTGCCTTCAACCCATGCCCAAGTCTCCGAGCATCTGATTTTCCAAATTTGGAGACAAGAAGGCCGGAACTAGCCGGAGTCATGATGTAGGACGTTACGAATCCAGATTAATTAATCAGGATCATACCAAAACCTCGAGAAAACCGAACAAACATGACAGGGCAAGACCGGACACAAACGCAGAAGCAGACAAGCAGGCCCGAACTAAGAGCCGGAGTCAAGCGAAAAGCCAGGGTTGTGATTTATGATGTTATGCCAATGATTAATCCGGATTAATCCAGATTAATCAGGATTAATCTAGAACCAAAAAACCAACAAAAAACAAAAAAACAAAGATTTGTCAACTAGTCTAGAGGTCAGAGCAGTTGTGGAAACATTGCTTTTTTTTTTGTTCTAGATTAATCATGATTAATCTGGATTAATCTATGCAGTCAACGCAGAGAAGTGAAGGCAGATGTTGGAAACAGATGTGTGTAATTGAACAGATGTAGGGCAGATGTAGGCAGATGACTGATGTAGTGTAATTACGTGGTGCCATGACATGTGTCAGAAACGACTCTTGTGAGGGCAAGTAGTAGGAAACTTGTGGATTCTGCCGCTCACAACAGTCCTTTCCGTAATATGGTTGTTTGTGTCTATAAATGGGGATTTTGACCACCAATGGATATTGGGGATATCATTGGAAAGTCATCTGTACATGGGGGCATTGTCTTTTTTGATCCGCATTGCCGTGCTTGTGGGATTTAAAGAATGCGCTGGGTGGACACTATACATCATTATACCTATATGAGGTGCAATGTGGGACACCCTCAGATACAAGTCAAAGATCGTAAAAGTTTATGAATGGCCAATGAAGTTACGCGATGTCATGCGTCCAATCCATATTCAATATTCACCTACCCGAGAGTATACCACATCGCAATGCAAGTGTTGTTCAGCTGGCAGCTGGCTGGTGTTGCAGCCTCCAAACCTTGTGTGGAAGTTGAAAAGAGTTCGCTGGTAGCTTGCCGATCATTTGGCGTTTGTTCCAAAGTTCAGCTGTCACGGTATGAAATAAGGGAAGGGGAAATGTAAGGTGTCATTTGCCTGCGAAGTTGTAGGGTACAACAGCTCGAAGCTGCGGACGATGGAAATTGCAGAAACGGAAACCCCTTCTGACCTCATTATGGCTGGGGATGGGATGAAGTTGGGACTTCCAGTGATATCTTCCCCTACCCTTCCATGTCCCACTATGCTCGGAACCGCTGCAGATACCAAAATGGGTGGAACCAGGATTGGGTTCCGGAACCGGGGTGCCATGAGGATAGCATGATTATCAACAACATTCAACAAGAACAATATTCAATACACATGGTGCTTTGGGGATATTCAAGATCATAAAAATTATGGGTATCCACCACTCAAGCATCAGCCTTCCCATGCCTTCCCAATCTTTCCCATGCTGCCATGAAGAAGCTTCGTGCTCGGCGACTTCTAGACGCAGGTGCGACCACCCCAGCTGCTACAATTTGGGCTGTGGAGTAACAACATGTATGAGATGGACACAATTCAACATCAAAATGGGTCAATCACTAGTTGTAAGAGCAACTGCATGCCCATACCACATCCCGTTGCCGATACACCACTGCCCATACCAAGCGCCATCAGCTCTCAGAGTTTGGATCCTGCACAGCTGCCAGTGCTGCCATGAGTGACAAGGGAGAACAGGATCCCGAGTTTTTTGGACAACATATTAGTTGGAAATCGTGTAAGTTCTTTCCAGCATTCACATATTTAAAATTATTTAGGAACCTGCCATGGCCTGCTTCTTAGGTTGACCTACCTCATCGCCGTTATCGATGAGTGGTGCCGTGTTATCGAGACCAAGAAACTTAGAGAGGATCCTGCCCACAATTTTGTGGGAAGTTGCACCCTTGATCCAACAGAGGAATCATGCGCCCAGTTGGACTTCCCTCTCAGCTACATCTTAGCGGAGTTTGGACTTGCAATCCCAAACCTTGGAAAATTCAGAGATCTTTGGCTAGAAATCATTTAGAATACATAATCCTAACATCATAGTCAGCTTTACCTCTGGCCCTTGGAATCTAAGGCTGCCTTTGTGAAGGTCAATGAGACTTACTGCCTGTTGGGTGAAGCAGCCCTGGTTAAAGGTGTCAAAGACTGGTCTGAGATGCAAGCTGGAGTAGTGCGGTGTCATGCAAAATATATGACAAGACTGTGGAGGAAGAGCCCAACCCGCTCCAAGCCCATTGTTTGCAGTACTACTTCAAAATTAAACAATGTATATGTTCATTAGTTTTGTTGTGAGGGGACCCTATTCATTACATCCTCTTGTTCAATCTCAATCAGGTCAGAAGCCGTCCAAAGCTTGAAGGATATCCTCAATGTGAAGTACGGGGATGCTGCTTCTGCCCTTGCTCCATCAGACCCAGCAACATCTGCTCCTGAGGAGGATGATGATGGTGAAGGTCTTGAGGAGGAAACTCCTGGTGAGGCCGGCAGCTCTGAGGCGGCTGGCTCTGCTGGGGACACTGGTGCTGCTACAAATGAAGGTGAAGCACCTGCTCACACCACGGTCAATCCAGCTGACCCCTCCCAACTTGATA